GCTGCGCCTTTCTTAGCCATGATGACACTGCGAAGATTGGCAGCAGATGAGCGTCATACATATCCCGAAGCTGCAAAGGTGCTAGAGTCCGCATGCTACATGGATGATGTAGTTAGTGGAAGTGACTCTATTGAAGACGGGAAGAAATTAATTTTAGAATTTATCTCATTGCTCAATTCAGGCGGGATGAACCTTAGGAAATGGTCTTCCAACGTGAATGCATTATTGTCTAGTATCGAGCAAAAAACTAACAGTAACGAGTCAATGTATGCTTTTAAAACGGAAAACAACTCGAAAACATTAGGAATTGGATGGAACTCAACAACAGATAATTTTACATTTCAATGTAAAATGGCTGGAACAGACAAAAAACTAACAAAACGGAATTTACTATCGGAAATATCAAAGCTTTTTGACCCTCTCGGTTGGCTCACACCATTGTCAACAAAACTCAAATTAATTTTTCAGAAAGTATGGAAACTTAACCTCCGTTGGGATGATATGGTGCCAGAAAACATAATTAAAGAATGGTCTAAACTAAAAACAGATATACATTTAATTAACACATTTGAAATACCGAGATGGATTAGATATAGAACAGGTGACATCATTATATTACATGGGTTCTGTGATGCATCTGAAGAAGCTTATGCATGCGTTGTTTATGCACAGATCAAAGGCCGCCCGGAGGTAACCCTTGTAGCCGCAAAAAGCAAACTTGTACCCTTTAAAAAGGCCGTATCTCTACCGAGATTAGAGTTGAGCGGCGCTTTACTATTATCAAAGTTAATAGAAAAAATCAAACAATCACTTGATCGACGTTTCATGGAAGTCTGGGGTTGGACGGACTCTATGGTAACACTAGGTTGGATACAAGGTGAAATTAGCCGTTGGAAACCGTTCGTAGCCAATAGAGTTGAAAAGATCACAAAAACATTACCGAACGATCGTTGGCGTTACATAAAATCGTCCGAGAACCCAGCCGACGCAGCCAGCAGAGGTTTATATGTATCGCAATTAAAGGAAAATACATTATGGTGGGAGGGCCCATCATGGCTTCCTACCTACGAGATACAACATTTAGAACAGCCAAAATACAATACAGACTTAGAATTGAGACCTAAATATTATAAACAAATAAATATGATACAAACAGAATACAATGAAAATATTATCAGCTCGTTATTGCACAAGTTTAATTCTATAACATTTATTATTCGTATAATTGCATGGATACTACGGGTAATGAACCCTCAGCGTAAGCAATTACCTAAACATATCACATTGCAAGAAATAAATAAAGCTACAATTATTATTGTGAAATTTGTGCAAGCAAAAGAATTTAGAACGGACATTGACTGTCTACAGAATCGCGGAGTTGTCAAATCGAACAGTAAATTATTAAATTTAAATCCATTTATTTGCAAAGAAGGTATATTGAGAGTCGGTGGAAGATTAAGACACAGCAGCCTAACATTCGGAATGAAGCACCCAATAATAATACCATCTCATCATCAACTAGCTACGTTGTTGGTAAACAAAGCTCACCTGGAAACTTTCCATGGGGGCCCAACCATTACATTAGCACGACTACGCAACCAATATTGGATCACCGGAGGGCTCAACTTCGTCAAAAGACACATACGGAATTGCGTAACCTGCCGTAAACAAAACCCAACACGACAACAACAACTCATGGGAGACCTGCCAGAAACCAGAATAAACCCCGCTCCTCCTTTCTACCATACTGGAGTTGACTACACCGGCTTCATGGAGGTGAAATTAAACAAAGGCCGAGGGGCTAGAACAACAAAGGGTTACGTGGCCGTTTTTATTTGTATGGTAACTAAGGCCGTACACTTAGAACTAGTATCGGAGTCAACAAGTTCGGCATTTTTAGCTGCTCTGCGGAGGATGGCTGCACGCCGAGGAGCGCCAAAACACATATACAGTGACAATGGCACTAACTTTCTTGGAGCCGATAACATACTGAAACAGGAATACCAGAAGATCAAACTTACATTTAATGAAAACTTTTTAAAGGAGGTGGCTGACATGAACATCGAGTGGCACTTCACAGCCCCATCTTGGCCTAGTTCAGGAGGTCTATGGGAGCGTGCCGTTCGAAGTTTGAAACATCATCTAAAGCGTGTAGTTGGGCAGCAAAAACTCACTTTCGAAGAAACAACCACTGAACCGAAACTACAAGTACCAGATGGAACAACATTAACAAAACAAAATTATCGCCATATTAAGAAAAAGCCAACATTATCTACAATCGTTATGACATTGATCTATTTATTTTCATTAATTACAAACTCACTTTGTTCTCGTGTCATAACAGAATTAAACAATAACAGAACTCTATATTTCGATCCAATAGCCAACATTCAATTAAGTCAAGATACATGGAATCTAGTAGTATACTATGATATGTCTCCATATTGGGAAGGGTTCGAAGCATTTCGAAAGGCATATAATTATTTAACTACAACATGCGAAACATTAAGTTCTGACAATCAATGTAATATGATCGTACCACAATTGAGTCACCAGTACGCCGAGTTACAATACTACAACCAGCTGTTGCTAAATCAGCACTTTGATCGGCACTCCAGACAGCGTCGAGGTCTTATCAATGGAGTGGGATACCTTGCAAATACGCTGTTTGGTGTATTAGACGAACGATTCGCAGAAAAATACACTCGAGATATAGAAAAGATAAAAAGAAACCAAGCCCATTTACAAACCTTGTGGAAGAATCAAACATCTATAATCGAATCGGAATACAATTTATTAAAACGAACGGAAGATATGATTGCAAGACACCATAAAATTATAAATAAACATCTAAACAACGTAGACAAGACTATTACTGTGTTGGAAAAACAGGTCAACAAAATTGCCCTCAATGAAGACTTCACCTTATCAGTAATATCTACCCAACAGATGTTGCATACTCTTGAAAACATTCAGCAAACTCTGCTTGATACTGTAACTGATATTTATCATGAACATTTTAACATACATTTGCTGACACCAAAACAATTACAAACAGAGCTCAACACAATTTCCGGGTTGCTATCCGCCGACGTAACTATTCCCATACATAATATACAATCAGATTTTAAAGACATATATAAACTATTAAAAATCAAAGCCAGAATGACGGAGTCATATTTCATATTTGAAATAAAAATACCACTAATAAGCCGAGACACATATGATTTGTACAAAATCATACCTATACCACAGAGAATTGGCAGATACTTAAGACAGATAACACCAACTTCAAATCAAATAGCAATAAGCTTACAGAAAGACTCCTTTATTCCTGTGTCTCAAGAGGATTTCCGAAACTGTTTAACAAAAGACTCGTCAACACTTATCTGCCGCTTCAACAGTCCCATCTATAAATTAAAAGATGATAAAGACCTATGCGTAAGAGACGAAGAGAGACTCGAACAATGCAAAACAAACATTGTCGCGTGCCAAAGTCAATGGCACGCGCTAAGTAAAATAAATTCATATTTGTTTATATGTTGCGGGCAGTGTCAAGTTCGAACAATATGCAAGGATCGAGTTACCGCGCATCAGGTGACGAGCCCGAGCCTTATCAATATCGACGGTGACTGTTTAATAAAAACAGAAAACTTTACTGTATTCGCTCACAAAAATCACGAAAGTACATTGACCGTAAAAGATAACATACAAGTAAATTTTATAGCTCCGATCAACGACGTAATCAATATAAGTATGGGACAGTCTGACATGAGTCACGATTTCAGTGACGACACCGACCTACTAGCGAAGGAAATAGAGAAGAAGCTAAAGTCACTAAAGGAGGTCGAATTGCAATCGGATTCCGATATCCTGTCATCCCATGACATACACCAGTACACATTGTTGTATGGCATCATCGGAGTAGCAGGGTCGTTGGGAGTGGTGGTAGCCTGTCGTCGGTTGCGGTTGTGGCTCCGCGGCCGGGCGGAGGTGGAGCGGCCTCCGTCCCCGGGCGCGGCGCCGGCGCCGGTGGGGCAGGCGGTGGCGCGGCCCGAGGTGCCAGCGCCGCCGCCCGCCCGCTCCACGAGCATGTGCCAGCTAAGTGAATTGAGTGAGCTTAAAAGTGCGCGAGTGCGTGAATTTAAGAGTGAAAGTGAGTTAAAGGCTTCTAAGCCGGGTTTCATTCCCAAAAGATTTGTGTTTAGTGACATACCTAGTGAATGAAAATAAAAACAACAGTTCCTAGTGATAATAAACCTGACTTTATACATAATTCTTATTAGTTTTAGCGATTGATTTAAGGATAGTATATTTTTATTTTTTCATTTAGGTTGTAATCAGAAAATTGCTTATAATTTTGTTACATTATTAATTTTCATTTCTTTGGATATCTTTATGTTTTTCTTCTCCCTCGGGAATATGTTCGGTTCGAAACCGAACACTAAGTTATTGCGACATATTAGGATGACGCACGGGGCGGCTCGCGGTAACTGGGCCATAGTCCGCCGTGCACTTTAACATTTCAGTGCAATACATTTCGCGGTAACAATTAGTTGTACTCGTTAACATTATAACATAAATTCGGAACATTTTTATAACAGTTAATTACATATTAAGATAGTTTTAACAATAACATTTTTATACTTTTTCCTTTGACTTTAATTGAACATTTCTAAATATAAGTGAACTTTGTGCCCAACTGTGGAGTAAAATAAAATATTTAACAGTTTAAAAAGGTGTATTTCTCCATTAAAACCCCACGCAGACTGATACCCCGAACAACTTGTATTCCAAGACTTCTCGTTTTTCACGTTACTAAGGAAACGTGTGTCAGAGACAACGTTAAGTTGAGTTTACACCTCTAACAAGCGCCACAGGTCAAATAACTTTCCTAGGCATCAAGTTGAAGTTGAATGATCCGCAAAGTTGTATTCTCATAGTGGATCCTCTTTACTACGCTGCCTACAGAAAATGACAACTCGCTTTTATGATTACAGTTCAGATTCGCCACAGCGAGAGACAAGTTCTATATAGTTATAGGATTGCTGTGTTCGATAGCTGCAGGATGCACCACTCCTATCAACACATTACTTTTTGCGGCGTTACTTGATGCCATGGTGAACTACGGTATATCCCTGTTTGTGGGTAATCCGGAAAGGGAACAATTCATGCAGGCAGTCACCGATTTCGCCATTTATAACTGTATAGTCGGAGCGGCCATAGTTATCTTATCGTATACAGCCACCGTACTCATGAACATCGCCGCGTATAATCAGGTGAGTACGTCTAATTACATATTAGTTATTCTTAAATTTGGGGTTTCAATGTGTCTACTCATGAGCTACCTTTTATTGATCAGCCAGAATCCATAAAAATGTCCTTGTATTGATATTGCATATTCTTTAATACTTATAAGCATGAATATACTAATTCCACCACGCAATTGAAAATATTATATTTACTTTAGCCTTTATATTGTAACACTCCTATTAGAGAAATACTAGATTTATATAGCTACAATGATTTATTAAACTTACTATGTACGTAGGCACATAGACCAGTAAAGACAAGGGTGTGGGTAAATATCAGCGTTGACAGATTTTATTTTTGCTAAGTCGGGATTTAGGAACTTTTTGAATGAAAAAAGCGGGATTCTTTCGTCGAATGCGGGAAGGACGTAGTAGTTTTTGAATATATATCTTTTTATTTGAGTTCAAATTACGTTAACGTGACAATAGATAGGTACCTAGTAAAAATATCCATAGAAAATGTATTTTAATAAAAATATGATATTTCAAATCAGATTTACCCTATCGTTAAATTGTCGAGTCTTTGTTTGAGAGTTCTTCATAACGCGCCGGGCAGGTGGCCAGTTCACACTTGTCTGTAGGGTTGCTACCTTTTTTTGTCCAAACAAAGTACTCTTTATTTCTCCTTATTAGTAAGCTTAAAAATATATTTTACGTTCCTACTAGCAACTAAAAATCTGTAATTCTTTTCCGCAATGGGAAAGATCATATTATTTATATACATTATATACAGATTAAGAACAGCCAAGAAAATGTTGCAGGTATCAGCTAAGGGCGACATAATGTCTGTCCGTTTTACGTAAAAAATCTTCCTATCAACCACTTTTTGTATATTTTATGTAAAATTAGTCCCTGAGTAATCAAATCACATTAAATAAAGTACTTTGGCGTACTTTATTGTTTATTTATTGTTGGCATAAAGTACAATTACCCGAAATAACGTACAATACTTTACAATAAAGTACGGGTGGCAGCCCTACTTGTCTGTGCCGCCCGCGCTTTCTCAGTACGCTGCACGCACGGTCGAGTTATTCCCGAAAAGCTGGATTGAGTCTGTCCCGCGCGGGACATTTAATTTTGATTTAAAAATCGGGGCGTCTGGATGAGTCGATAAATGTAAGAAGTCCGTTCCACAATCACTGTCCTGAAGTTCTAGACGTCAGCACGATAATAATATTTTTATAGGATATAGGTCGACGAATAAATTAAATTAGTAATGATAAAATATAGTAGTAATAAATTGTTTTCTTACTTGTGTTTTTTTTTTGTTAGGATTTAGACCATTACTTTAAAATATGAACCCATTCCAGGAACTTGTACTGATCAATAAGAATAAGGTCATTGCAAAATTAACTTTGTCTTTACGCCTACACCGATGCTGATCTGATTTCGATGAATTTTAATATGGAAATAAAAGCGATTCAGTGTAAGAAATCGGCGATATTGTCACGGAAATAAAACTTGAAGGGGCCAAAATAGGAAATGACTTTGGATTAGGATGAGAAAAAACAGTTCTGTCCTAATTAAAAAAAAAATATACTGTTACGATTCGTCACGTTCTAATAGTCTCATTACCAACTAATTTATATACCTGGATATACCCGATATATAAATTGGATTGGATATAATTGGATGGGAGCCTTGTAGACTAAATAGGGAATTGCTTAAGCGTCGTGGGGTTGGATGCTAAAAAGAAAAAACGTTTATAATGTTTACCCTTTCACTGGAGGGAGCAGCGTTTAGCACCCTTATAGTAGGGGAGCTCGGAATGCTAAAGTTGCAGTTACTAGAGCGTCATGGGGAACTATTGGATTGTGAAGATTAGGTTCTAAAATGAAAAAAAGTTTATCTGATGTTTTCCATTTTAGTGGGAGGAAGAGCGTGTAAAAATTTTCAAAAATGTAAAGTCAAACAGTCACTTGGAATTACTCGAGCGCGTCAGATATTAATAGAGTATACTCGCTTTGTGTTTCTGATAACTGATGAATATTAATCTGACGATTAGATAGTGGGGGGTGGCTAAGAAAAGGTAAAAAATATATATATATATATAAGTTATTCGAGCGTGTCAGACATTGAAAGGGAATGTTAAGTGAACACAAAACAGTGTTCGATTTAAATTACTGACAATTTGGACGTGACCTACACTCATGACTGATTTATTAAAATATAAAAAAAAAAATAACTTAAAATACTTACTCGAGCGTCAGATTTTTCTACTATGGGTTCAACTCGATGTCAGAGTCACTCTAAATGATAATCTGACAATTATGTAAAGGGGTATAGGTAATCTGACAATTTAAAACATTTTTGATGTAACAGTTTTAGAACAAAACAATATTCTTTTGCTTCTTCTGTTTATTACTGGATGTAATAAAAAAATATACATACACACATATATAGAAAAGTCAATCGTTAATATAAAAATAGATATTAATATTATTTATAGAAAAAAAAAATCTTCATCATCACTGGATTCGTCTTCGAGGTTAGTTTCCACTTCTTCAACTTCCTCGTTATCTCGTGTTTCTGTAAGCAAGAATGGTTATGATACTTTGCAATTTTTTCATTTATTTCTTGATATTATAGTAAGTATTAAAATAAGAAACGTGCCTGAATACGACGTATCTTCGAAAATGTTTCTTTTTCGCAATATACACATTTACATCACTCATAATTATAATGGATATGAAACTTATTTCATAAAATTCACGAAAATACTTGAAAACACAACAAACAAACCAAAGCGTCGGCCACCTCCGAAAACGAGCACGTCATTGTAATCGGATGAGATAGCATCATAGCGTCAGACGCTAGCGTGGGAACTGCGAGAGAGTGAGAGATTGGGAAAGAGTGAGAAGGAACGAGAGGCGCGGAGTGGGGAATACATGCTTTATGGGTTGTTATAGCTACATCGCCCTAAAACAACCGTCAGATTATATGTTTGTCGTAATTGATAGAATTCCCTTCAAAAAAAATCGTGCTCGAGTATTTCGAGGTGACATTTTTTTTACAATGTGGTGATTTCCTTATGTCACGCTCAAATTGTCAGATTATTGGAATATACACTTTTCTGGATGTACTGAACTTACCTGTTCTTAATCTGACGCGCTCGAGTTTTTCTGAAGATCGATTTTTTTTACTAATCTAACGGACTGTTCTAAACGCAAACCAATATATTAAGGGTTCATATTTGGTAGGGGTACATTGCAGGGTGCAAGGTTTCTCTCCATATGATCTTCTGACGCGCTCGAGTAACTCGCAAAATCCCCGCTTGTGCTCCCCTACTATTATATTATACCGCCATGCTCGAGTGAATCCCAAAGTTCCCGCTTGGGCTCCTTTACTATTGCGGTTAGGTATATGAATTCCTTGCTCATTAGATATAGTGAATATTTGAGTTCTTAAATGTCAACATCATTCTCAGGTCTACAAAATTCGTCAAGAATATCTCAAAGCAGCTTTGAATCAGGACTTTGCATATTATGATTCACACCAGACAGGCGATATTGCTGCTAAAATGACTGGGTATGTCCTCTTTCACAGTTATAAATAATAATTTTATTATTATCTTATCGTAATTTAACAATAATTGTAACTTGAATAACATTTTCTAAGCTGATAATGTGAAGATAATTATTAATACCTATAATCGAAAATAGTACTTCAGCATGTATTTGGTACGGATATAAATTCTTTTGTTTTTAGACATGATTTTCATTGTATTTTTAACTAAATTCAAGAAAAATGACGGTCTACCAATTTAAGATGATAATCTCTTGATTGAGCTCAGTCTTTGTATTGGGTTTATCCTAATATACCTAAAAGTACACTAAATCACTCATCATTAAACCAGGAACTAAGCGATTAATTTATTTTTCCAGAGATGTAGTAAAATTAGAGGATGGTATTGGTGAAAAATTGGGAACATTTGTTTTCTACCAATCGGCGTTCGTAAGTTCGATCATAATGGCACTTGTGAAGGGATGGAAGCTAGCTCTGTTGTGCCTTATATCATTTCCAATTACTTTAACGCTCGTGGGAGTCGCTGGTTTGGTAAGAATCAAGTACAGCAGTGCTATTCTTAAAAGGACAAACTCACATTTCACCACGGAGTTCGCCGATTAGATTTGAAATTTATTTGAAATTAGTGTTCTAGTTTTAAATCACACCGTGGATTCCGAGGTGATAACTGAGTTTGTTCTTACAAAATAGCACTGCAGATCACGCCAAACTTCTTGTCCGCTCTGAAGTTGCTACGCACAGATGTACATTCGTTACACAACCTTCGTCCCTCTATATAATACGTGTCTTTTGTTACTGCGGCGTGAATTATGCAGTGTTCAGAGCGGAATAGAAGATTAGCGAGATCTGTACGAAACATACTATTACTGCAGTTACTTTTACTTACTTATTAATGTATTGTTAGGTGTCGGGATGGGGCTCGAAATTATATGCTAGTTCACACTTGACAGTACTTTATTCAACAGACAGATCACACAGTTACCACACAATCTTAATCACAATTCACTCACTAAACACTTTTCTTAACTATACAAGTCTTTAAACAATCGCACTTGAACCACACACTTTGATCGCCTTTGTATTCGTTCCGAAATGGATGCTGAAACGCAACTGTCAACTGCGCGGCGCCGGACGTGCTATACGCCAGTCGACGCATTCTAGAAAAGTCCAGTTTAATTGAGAGTTAACTAGCACCCGCGAGTGCGTAGCACCTACTTATGTGTAGGTAACGCGCATAAGTTGTAAACATATGCAGATGTCGTTGCACTTTAATCTGTCTGTAGTATTTTCGCGGTTTTGAGCGCGTTTGTGACAGTATATTTACTTAGCGAACAAAATGTTCTGCGTTTCTGCGTTTTTTACGTTTTTGCAATAGAGTGGAATGTTGAATAAAATGTCATTTTAAAAAAATGACAACACCTGCATTGGTCAATGACCTTTCATCGAATTTGTTTACATTTTTTATCGCTTCTCGTTGGCCGTACTTTAGTTGATTCTCTCAAATATGGCGCTAAGACTTAGTGGCTACAGATGACAGTTTTATTATAATGTTTTTCTTTATAGGTGGCCTCCAAATTGTCTAAGAAGGAGGCTGTGGCGTCAGGCAAAGCGGGAGCTATAGCAGAAGAGGTTATATCAGCGATACGCACCGTTTACGCATTCAGCGGACAGAAGAAAGAAAGCGAAAGATACGAGTCGCATCTTATCGATGTGAGAAAGATTAACATAAAGAAAGGTGACTTTTATTTTGTTTTATTAATTACAAATCGTTAAAGACAAGGCGTCTACTAGATAGCTGTGAAAGTGTAGATTCATAATAGGCTATTTGACAGTATAAAAAGTAGAATACTAATTTAAGCATGTGTATTTAACATGAATATTGGGAGTAATTTCACTAAATATTCAACGAAAATAACCTAGTTGATAAACAGAAAAGTATTTTTTTACCTATAGTCATGTGTCTAAAAACGCTTAGGATTGGCGGAGCCTAAAATGACGTCACCTGCTTGTAAACATGCTGTTGAAGCACTTTGTAATGTTTGACGTTATTAGAGCCGTGTGACGTCACCTGCTTGTAAGACGCCATATTTGCTAGAGAAACGTTTCCGCCCCATATTTGAAAATATAATTTTCTTTTTTTTTTACTGATTTAAGCAGCCGAATTATAAATATCCACTATTTATTAAGTTAGTATACCCTAACTTGTCGAATAGCCTATTATTTTTCCGGAAAACCAAACTCTTCTCAATCGATTTATGAATCTGTTGATTTAGTTACAAATTATAGAATTATTCATATTTAATAATATTATGAAGTTTTTACTTTTTCTTACAGGATTTTTTAACGGTTTGTCTATGGGGTTCCTTTTCTTCTGCATTTTCGCTTCATATGCGTTGTCGCTGTGGTTCGGCTACAGACTAATTGTTGATGACGACTACGACGTACAGACTATGATCGCTGTGAGTTTTACTATTTTTTTACCGATAATTTCATATTCTTCTATGTGATGCTTAGAATGATAACGGGGTAATATAAACGAAATTTCTTAGCCCATAGGTGTGATTATCAAAAAATAATGGACATTTATTTTATATTTTGTCAAGCAACCAAAAATAGATAAATATAAAAGTTTTGGAGTCTGCCTAACATTATACTATGAATAAGGTGTCATCCATATATTAAGTCACACAAATTTCATGATTTGTTTGCCCCTCCCCCCGTCCTTGACACAACTAGTCACATTTGTGAGACCTTCCCCCCCCCCCTCCCTAGTGTGACGTCACATATTTTGCAAATATACATTTAGAAATTATTGAATGAAAACCGCGGTTCAAAATCAGTTTTATTTCCATTTCAATTATTATTTTATTAATATTAACATCAAATCAAACAACGATTAATTATGTTAATTAAAGAAATTACTAAACAAAAATCGATTGACTATGTTAATTAAAGAAATTAACAAAAAAATACTTTGACTATATTAATTAACGAAATTAACCAAACAAAAAATATTAATAGTAAAGATACAAACTTAATAATCTTGAGAGCATGGATATTCAACCCACTCCTTTAAATTTATTTGTAACTGGCATAGCAGCCACTTTGTTCTCCCTTGGGTTGTTAATGTTTTCGTAAAGTAATAGTTTAAAGTTCGTGTTTCAACACTTAGATTATAATAGATTTTGAAATGTGACGTCACAAAATTAGGACCATTCCCACCCCCTTGTCACACGGTGTCACACTTCGTCGACCCCCTCCCTCCCCCTTAACGTGTGACGTAATTTATGGATGGCCCCTAATTCTTAAGTAATTGGGTACGTCTGTGGCATCTCTGTGGTGTTTCATTCTATGTATTTCAATTCGCTATCCTAATATTTCAAAATATAAGACTTACAGTGCTTACTTTAGGTCTAGGTTAATTTTCGTGAAAGTTAGACATATTTATATTTTCATTTAACTTTATTGTATTTTTTAATCACTTCATAATTTTTCATTCTCATCGATCTCGTGCAGGTGTTTTTCGGTGTCCTAATGGGCTCCGCCAATTTTGGCATATCGTCCACCCTGATGGAAGTGTTCGGAGTAGCTAGAGGCGCGGGCGCGCAGATATTCAACCTCATAGACAACGTGCCCACGATCAACCCACTATTGGACGCCGGTGCCAAACCTGCCTCTATAGCCGGTCACATAGAGTTGAACGATGTCGCCTACCACTACCCGTCCAGGCCTGACGTGCCGGTGAGTCGTAACAAGATTCTATCTTACTCTAATTCACCCTGTCTCAACACTTAGAGACCTCCCTCAAATCATGCCATCTGTTACGAATTTATGCGGCGGGCGACGCACTCAATAGTATCGAAAGCCTTACGAAATTCGGAGTCAACACAATCATATATACAGAGCTCGACCAATATATGTTGGGTCGCGGCCCCTGAGCTAACAACACCCAGTATACATCGTGTCCGCTGCTGGACCAAACCCGCCTCTGTAGCCGAACACACAGTTAAAAGACATCACCTTCCACTGCCCGTCCAGGCCTGACGTGCCAGACGTTACAGATTGTAGACTATTAATGTCATCGTCTCAGCCGTACGACGCCCACTGTTGAGCATAGGAATTCCACACCGATCGGTCCTGCCTCACAAGGATCTCCGCACCGATTGGCACAAATATTTCTTATTAAATCAGTTTATAATAAGTATTAGTAAAAAAATTGCTTCAAATGCGTTAAATTAAAAAACATTGAATAGATACTTATCGAAAAAACGACACTTTACATACTATAAGCATTTTTCACGGAGCTCTGCGACAACTTGACTTTTTAACGGTCCGCGTGTGACTGTGAATCAAGAAGTGCTTGAGTGGTGTTCAAGCACTTCTTGATAGGGACACATTTTGAGCGCACGTGGCGTATCTAGGGTATTTAAAATCGTTGCTATGAATATGCCGACGATCGACCGCTGCTGGACCAAACCCGCGCACTTACAGTTGAAACAAGTCGCCTTCCACTATCGTGCCGGTGAGTCTTTACGAGATTTCGTGCTGCGTAGCGCCAGTTTTTCCCTGCTGTTCTTTTAAGGTTTAAAGTCCAGACAGACAGCGGGCGGGGTGGCATCGGCACGGCAACTTGACGGCGGGGTGTGGCGACGCGGCGTAGGTATCACATAGCCGACCATTTAAGGTTTAAAGTCCAGCCAGACAGTGGACGGGGTGGCATCGGCACGACAACTCGACGGCGCGGGGTGGCAACGCGGCGTAGATGTCACATAGTCGACCTTCTAAGGTTTAAAGTCCAGTCAGACAGCGGGCGGGGTGGCATCGGCATGACAACTCGACGGTGCGGGATGGCAACCCGGCACGTGGTGGCAACGCGGCGCGGGGTGGCAACACGGCTCTGATGTCACATAGCCGGCGTGACAGGTGCGTCGACGTCGCCCGTCCCATCGTGTTTGGCTGAACGGGCGGTGCGAAATTCACAATACAGATTTTAAGTCATTCTAACGTGAAAGCTGTATATTACGAAGTTAGCTAACTTCGTCGTACAACAAAACGTGACGCGTTAATATGTAATCATCATAATTTAACTTCCTTTTCTTCCTCAGGTGTTGAAAGGTATAAGTTTGAAAGTGAAACGCGGGCAGACGGTGGCTTTAGTGGGGCACTCCGGGTGCGGCAAGTCGACCATCATCCAACTCATTTCCCGCTACTATGACGTCATCGACGGCAGCGTACGTTTAGCTCGAATACCATTAGCTTTATAATAGGGAAGCATACCTAATTATTAACTTTTATTTTTATTTATTGAAGTTATACTTCTTTAGGCGCGTTATGAAAAAGTGATGAGAGTGAAATTTTAAGATGCGCGCGCATCGCTGAAACACAAAATTTTAACAGCATGAAGTTGGTCGCTTTAGCGACCAACTTCATGCTTTACTTTTGTGTTTACCGCACATTAAGAAAATCTACCAACAAAATAGAAATAGAATCTCTATTTAGTGGGTGCTAACGACTGCATTATGAAGGCCTATCAAAAGTATTTATTAATCTGGAACAACGGAACCAAAGCGCGATTCAGGGAGACTACAGCGCCATCTCTTGACCATTGGTGTAGTAGAACCAAAAACTACATCTTTATTTTTTGTAATAAAGTAACAGTTATAGGTATTCATATTTATAATATCAAAAGTATTTATTAATCTGGAACAACGGAACCAAAGCGCGATTCAGGAGACTACAGCGCCATCTCTTGACCATTGGTGTAGTAGAACCAAAAACCACATCTTTATTTTTTGTAATAAAGTAATAGTTATAGGTATTCATATTTATAATATTTATCCACATGTTTCTAGTTTGTATATTCGGAATACGTGTTTGAGTTTCATACAAGTGCAAATCACATATGTTCTAATAAATTATATTCAGTAGCGATTTTAATTGAATATTTTGATTATTTATTTATTTTTTCAAATTAAAACTGAACTTTATTGACTGTGTCCTTTTCCAGACTTTTTATTAATTTATTGTAATTAATTATTTGCATGCAATTAAAAACTAATTTTAAACGATGCCAAAGAAGGATAACTTCTCACGCGCCTACATAAGTACACGCACCCATTTTTTTTAAGCATTTATCTGCTAGATATCTAAATCTTAAGAAAATTTTATTATTTTTTCAAAGCCTGCGCAGTAGCAATTTTACATACAAAAACATCTACTAGCCCCCGCCAAAGTTTATTAGTCTGCGGTTTTGCTCAAAAAGTTTGTCGCTACCTTTACCTACAATAGATATTTCTTAACAGGTGACTGTCGACGGCAACGACGTTCGAGACCTATCGATCCGTTGGCTCCGCGATCAAATCGGCCTTGTGGGCCAAGAGCCGGTGTTATTCAACACAACAGTACGCCAGAACATCCGGTATGGCCGCGAAGACGTCACCGATGAACAGATAGAGGCCGCCGCTAAACAAGCGTATGCGCACCAGTTCATCGTTAAACTGCCCAAGGTACGTATATAGATAGCAGCAAAATTGTTAAGTAAAAAAAATACCAACTTCCCCTTTTTCAAGTCGGTTAAAAACCATGAACAAACAAGCTCATTTCCGTTAAAAAACATGGATAAACGAAACCTTAGCACCAACCATTATTGAATTCGAATGCCTAGTTGAATTCGATCTACTTTATACGTCGAACGATCGTAGAGTTGTGGCCCTCTGAAGCTCGGCGTGACAACAATAGCGCGCACTTTCCGCCATCGCTGGCACCTGAGCATCGTATGATTCCCGATTCTGGCGCAATTTATAAGTGGCGGCGTGAGCGGCAGCGATTTTGGTCGCTACAGTTGCTCCACTTCATTTGACATATCGTGTCCGTACGCGGTGTCTATGTGTGCGTTACTCGAGCGCACTTTGTATGTAGATTACCTTCAGTAATGTATATTTTGTGCTCGAGGTGTTGAATATAAGTTGAGGACCTGGTGAACAAAACGTTATAATTACATAAAATAAAATTTTACAAGAGCTGTAAAAAACTGTATGACATACCTACAGTGAGCTTTTGGCGTCGATTTTTATTTATAAATTTAGTAATTTTAACACTGTTTTAGACGGGTTTGATTGAAAATGAGTTGAAATTCAAATTCAGCGGGCCGAAAACCTCCGAACTGTAAAAAGAAAGTAGTTTTACCAGATGCGTAATTATACCGTTTTGTTCGCCAGCTCCTCAGTTGATATAATTACCTTTGTTTCTGTATTAAAGTAGTAAGTGTGAATGTTTCACATCAACCTATCTGCCAGTCGTGCGGTGCCTGCTAACTTCATAACCCACTTCAAACAAAAAGGAGGAGGTTCTATTTACCTTTTTTAACCGACTTCAACAAGAAAAGACAGGTTTTATATTTCCAATGCCTATTTATTTTTTGTCTGATTGGATAGGGTTACGATACGCTGGTAGGCGAACGCGGCGCATCCTTATCCGGTGGACAAAAACAACGCATCGCCATCGCTCGAGCGCTAGTACGGAATCCCGGCATTTTGCTATTGGATGAGGCCACCAGCGCATTAGACCTTAACTCCGAGGCCAGGGTTCAAAAAGCTCTGGATAGGGTATGTATAAACTTCCTATATTAGGTATCTAGTACCTATATTAGGATTATCGTCTGGTTGCTATTTGGTGGATAGAAGCAATGCAATCCCGATATATTGCTTTTGGGTGAAGCTTTAGACCTTAACTCCGAGACTAGAGTTCAGAAAACACTGGCTAGGGTACGTATCTTGTTCGATAAGGCTTTCACGTGTTAATTATAAGAAAGAAGCAACGCATCCATCACTCGAGCATCACTAGGACCTCCATCAGGGAAATCGAGCTATGAAACTCTATTTAGTCGATAGAAGTATCATGATCTCGGTATCCTGCTCACAGAACACAGAAAGAGGTAAGGAGGGTGATCAGAGACGTTTGTACGGGAAGCGATGTCGCCGGCTCGCCCCCACTACACTTCCACCTAATAGATAATAGCCAATCAAACGACGCGACATCAAACAATCGAACCAATCAGCGCTAACACCCGGGAGCATCGATGCAATCAGAACTAACTTTTAGTCAAGTTATGAGCTTTTGCTGAGGCGCGCCTACCCCGCCCACAAGGCCCTTCTAACCTCTTTCTGTGTTCTGTGATCCTGCTGTTTGACTAAGCCATTAAGCCAGGGTTCAAAAATACAGGACAGTGCCCTAAGTACAAACCAATATCGAATTCGAATACTTGAATTCGATCTCGATACGCGCCAAATGTCAAGAAGTATTGCATAGAAATTTTAACAGCTCCACACCGTACGTAACGAGAATTAAAATCTTAAAATCTTCCATACAAAACTTATTGACATTTGACGCATATTGAGATCGAATTCAACTAATCAAATTCGATATTGGTTCATGCTTAGGGTACAGACTAGACTAGTACCTGTATTAGGATCACGGTTTGGTTAAGTAATTCGAAAAATAAATAATATGAATTTTGGTATGTTGATAAACAGGACCTCGGAGAAGAGAAGATGCGGGCAAAGGAGAATGCTCATGGATGTATGGACCGCCGTACAATGGTTGCATCAATACCAAACAAATGTTAAATGATCGTTTAATATTCAAATTAGTATGACAAATTGGAATTTTGAAAATAAAAACAGGGGTTTTAATGTTATTGTAAAAAATGTGACATAACCTCAAATCCTTAATAACTCCTATTTAAAGTTGGTTTACAGCTATTTTGGGTACTTTTTTATTCTGTTATTTTTGATCAACTTGAGTCTTTCACTGTTTTTCCAACCTACTGCATAGATTTTCATGACAACACAGATTTCAGTGAAAGCAGATTTACGTATAGGTAAATAAAAACATTAATATAGGACACTTTTTATTAGATTACATATATTAATTGTACACATTATATTTGAATTACCAGTATATTTCAAATCAACATAATCTTCATAGAAAAAAAAATCTAAATAAGGCGCCAGAGCAGTAACATCATTGTAACGACCCCAACTTAAAAACTGAACTACAGTTATTATGTGGTCCTAACAGCCCACAGATTGTTTACCAACGAGACAGCTGCAATTATAACCTTTTATAGCCTCTAATGTGTCTGCCAAAGCAGCATCTCTACTGATAAGTAAATATGAGTTATATGTACGCTGCTTAAGTGTCAGGAATTAATCCTACCTCTTAATAATTATTTAGACCTAAAACAAGAGGAATACCATCTACAAACAAACAAATTCAAACAATTTGTAGCTTTCTACAACGTTCTAATGTAGCTCCTGGATTATTGAAAAGAGTGGCCAATCTTTCGTTGTTATCAGCAGTTCTTAATTTAACTAAATAAATACAAAAGGCTATAGAAGCGTTTGGCACTTGTTCTGCTAGATTGGTATACAGTTGAGCAAATTATAAAACTGTTCAGAGTTCATACCAAGTCAATAATGACATAAATGAGGTGACATAATTGAAACATTAGAAAAATCTAATTAGTAATTGGCTGATCGCTGTATCATAATCATTATATTATAAAACTGTGTGCCAGTAAAATCTCTTAATTAAGGTGTTAATTCATTCCATGAACCATAATTCAAATAGTGATGACAAACACATGCACCAGCTGGTATGCACAATTTATTATTATACATTAAGAGATCCCTGATGGTAGATGAATTAAGTAGACATTCAGGCTCTAAACAATTTGCAAATACACAGGAGAGTTAGCAGCATGTATGATGATGATGATACAATTTTTAGAGTCACTTGTTGAACTGCTTCTAGTCTTGGTTGTGGCAGAGGAGGTGGCACAGGTATAGAATGATTGCCACTTAATGTAGTATCTCCAAGAGTAAGGCGATTTGAGTCATGTTGTTGTTGCCTTTGTACTTGTTGAATCTCCAACGTGCAGCACATACGTTCCATTCTTGAGATCTAAAAAGATAACATTAATAAAAAATGAATAATTAATATGGAAAATTCCTTTCTGTTTATTTTAATGAATTTCTGTATTCTCTCATCATCTATTACCTGTCTAGTGATAACAAAACAAATAAAATAAAATCTAAATGTTACCATGACTACTACAAACATCTTAGTTCTGGATTTGTAATTAAGTATGATATGCAATAATAATACACAGTAATAATAGTTTTGTCATAAGATTGTGATAGTAAATGATTCCTAACCCAAAGTATCTAGAACTGTTATTACTTTTTTAAAAAGTCAAACAAAACAGTTAATATATATTTCATACAGTTAGTTGCACATGACATTAGACAAACAATATTAGCTCACCTGAGTAGGATTTATCCATGACTGTAATATGTTGAGGGCTAAACTGTTCTTCTACAAAAAAATTAAGTATCACCTCTTGGGCCCTGGAAATACAGTTTTACAATACACTGGTTTAGCCAGTCAAATAGTCTAATCGTCATCGATTCCTCATTTGAAGTAGAATGCGTGAGTAGAGAACACTACAAACACATACGGTAAATAAACGTCCTGTCGTGAATGCACTGTTTTTTTCCTGAAAACGTCTTGCCTGTCTTAACAACTCAGAAAAAAAAACGTTTGATACGTTCACACGCAGTCATTATCACTTCACAATTTATGTAAAAAAACTCAATCAACACAAAAATAGGAGTAACAACAATTGACAATTCTCCAATCATTTGCAATAGGGTAGGGGGATGATGATCTGAAATTGAATATACGAATAATCGATGGAATACAAAAAAAATGTTTTTGTATATAATCGATTTACGTAATGAATAGATCAAGTCAGATACAAATTAATCCAGATTCAATTAATTAATAAACAGCATAGAAATAAATATAATTACTAGTTACTACTTAGTTAATGATGAAGTCGACAGTTAGGTGAGCGCCCTCTATAAAAACAACGATTAAAGATTTCCGCGGAATTAACCTTCTTTAACATTATTAATACGTGTCGAATTTTTAAGCTTAGATTCGAATATCACGGCTACACGTTCCGTCTTACCTAAGAGCATGCCTGCACAGATTAACTAGCCTCTCTTTGTCGTCATTGTCGTCCGTCCCTCTCTAACTTAGATACTTTTATGGACGTAGAACAGGACGCGGCACAAGCCAATATACAATCATTGTATTTTGCGTTCAAGAATAAGGCCTTTTGACTACGTAGGCAAGACAAAGCGCTGGGTAAGCACGTGCCTCTTTTTGTCCGACTACCTACATGCTCGACATTTTATCATTTTCATCTCTATGCTTAACACGTTACATCCAGTAAGTAGACACTACATACAGCAAGAGACGTGATAGGAAAGTATCTAGTTAAGCCAAGCGACGGGTTATTGACTATGACGTATTAAGCATAGAGGCGAAATAGATAAATGATGAGTTGTCATCGCAACAGTTAAGACAATAAAAACGTAAAATCACTATTAAACAATAATTAGTAACACGTGATTTATTTGCTTTTTGATGGCCCACTCATCAGTAACAAAAACAACAATCGATTATAATGTATAACTAATAGGGTACTATGGCATCACTATTTTTACGATAAATAAACAAACGTCAGATATCCGGCTCAAAATATAAACAGTACTATGACTAATATTATTTTAAAAATTATTCCCTGTTCAAAATAGCCATTCTGATAGACCATCGTACGTATAAATTAAAGAAAATAATTATCATAATAATTTTATCTTGAGGCATGAGACAAAGCTGTACCAAATATGGGCATTCTCCTTTTTGCCGTAAAAAGAAAATAAGAAAGGGATGTTTTCACTAGTTCTTTTTTTATAGGCGCAAGAAGGTCGGACCACCATTGTAATAGCCCACAGACTGTCAACCATAAGAAATGTCGACATTATCTACGTGTTCAAGGATGGAATAATAGTAGAAGTTGGAAATCACGATGAGCTCATGAAAAAGAAAAGCCATTACTACGATATGGTCATGTTGCAGACCCAACCCAGCTCTGATGGAAAAGAAATCGGTAATTAATATTATATATGATATTTTTTTTATATATAATATAAATATTTCTTTCCTCAACCAGAACTAATACTTTGCAGAACCCAACCGACTCACAAGAGGAATATCAGTGAAGAGTGACATTGACGATGAAGAGGAAATAGAATATGAAACTGTAGTGAGTTTTATTAAATTTCATAATAATTAATTCTATGTTTAATACGATATAATGCAGAACCTTATTAATATTATACAATTACTTATATAATTAATTATACAATTACCCAAAGATTATTTAAATTTTTGAATTTTAAAACTTAGAAAATATTTTAGTTATGCGGCATGAGGACTGAATGACAACTTATCATTTCAAGGCAAAATTTTCATTTTGGGTACAATTCAAAACGAGTAGTAGCTAAAAAAAGTCATAATTCCTAAACTGATTTGGACATGTATTATGCTACATAAAAAAATATTTCAGGACAACACTGAACCTGACGCTGATACGAAAGAGGTGTCTTTCTGGAAAGTTCTTAAACTGAACGCTCCAGAGAAAAGATCGGTGGCAGCGGCTAGTCTCTTTTCGTTAATGAGTGGTTTTGCCATGCCTCTTCTTGCAGTGATTTTGGGTGACTTTGTGAATGTAAGCATTTTTTTTTATATGAAAATATAGCAATATATAGTCTTGACTTTTTTATTGAGTTTAAATTAAATATATCATGAATTGACAGGCACTGGCCAATCCAAACCCAGAAGAGGCCGAAGCGGAAGTACGACGATATGCCCTTATATTTGTTGGCATTGGTGTATTCTCCGGTATTGCTAATTTCATAACGGTATGTAATGAATTTGTACTAGAGTTCTTTTTTTTAATATGTATATATTTAACTTCTATCGTCTAAGCTAAAACCTTATTTCAGGTATTCTTTTACGGCGTTGCTGGTGAGCATCTAACAGCGAGATTGAGGAAGCAAATGTTTGAAAAATTACTACAATTCGAAGTAGCGTTCTATGATAACAAGGATCATTCCACTGGAGCACTTTGCGCCCGTCTTTCGGGAGAGGCAGCTGCAGTGCAAGGGGTATGAAAAAAAGTAAAAAATAAATATTTGAAAGTGAGATACGGACATTTCCTTTTTAAAAGATTGAGCAGTTTCAAATGTCCTGGATTGATTCATTTAATAAAACAATTGTTTATTTTGTTCTAACTAAAAAGCTCAGCTTAGTTCATGTTATGACCAATTAATTAGTGCCAGTGTTCTGAAAGTTACTTATCTAAGTGCCTTATAAAGGTGTATTCCGAAATATACATCAATATCTGTATGCTACCATAATTTTACCAGGAAAACGAATATGACGAATGACCGAGCGTGCGTGTGATGCATTCGAATTTTATTTCTTTTTTATTTAAAGAATAATAAAAGTGTAGTGAATATCGATAGCAGAGTGCAATAAGTTCGTTACGGAGATGTCGAGTGATTCAGATATTGAAAAATTATTACTTTTATATGCTTTATAAGGGTCACAGAGAAAAAGAGTATGAGTGCATGACTTGATTGATATATTTTTATACAAACTATTCTTCGTATTAAATAAACACGGGTATTCTCTAACTAATTCTATCAAATGTCTCACATTATGCAGTATTGTAACGTGTTTTCACTCGGACGCTAAAATGAAATTAGTAAAAATTGGGTGTTGTACAACGTTAAAGCATCCTATCGCCGCGACAGAGCGTTGCGTACTGCAAGCGCTGGCGTTCTGTTTGACGGTATTTTACCATGATAGTACAACACATCTTAGCGTCATAGCACAGCGTCAAGTTAACGCGTTCTGTTTGACTAAGCCTTTAGGTCCATAATCATTTTCTTGGAGATATATTCTTAACTGATTTTCAATATTGCCTACAGGCGACGGGGCAGCGCATTGGGACAGTATTACAGGCAATAGGCACTTTCGGATTCGCCCTCGTACTAGCGCTAGTGTACGAGTGGCGAGTCGCGTTGGTGGCCATGACATTTGTGCCTCTAATGGCAGGCGTCCTCTATAAGGAAGGCAGAATGGTCACCGCAGAAAGTTTCGGAACGGCCAAAACTATGGAAGCCAGCTCTAAGGTAAGATTCTCTCTACTGCGACTCGAGAAGACGTGATAAAATATTATACGATCGTTTTTACTTTGTGGTTTAAATATGGATGTATTTGCTTATCAATTAAACAAACCACTAACGAAATTTAATTTAGGGACTTACCTAAATATTTATGAAATAATCAAACATATTTCCTTTTATTGCTATATAATATTTTTGAGAACTTATATTGATTTATTTTTGTACTTAAGTCTTAACTTTAATTTGAATGTAATAAAGTTCGAAATCGATAATCTCATCATGATATTTCATGATCTCAATCAGCGACATTGCAATTCATTGGAATACAAATATAAACATTTTCTTATTCGTTTCGATTTATTCGTGCTCGTAATATAAGTATATTTACATATATACATGGAGAGGACTTAAAAGACTATCGATTGTTTACTGTAATACTTTACTCTTATTAACGGACTAGGAAAAGGGTCTAAATTAAGTTGGTATATATGTATTTCTAGATCGCAGTGGAAGCTGTATCAAACGTGCGCACAGTAGCATCGTTAGGCAGAGAGGAGACGTTCCTCAAGGACTACGCGAATCAACTGTTGCCCGCTCTGCACCTGGCCAAGAGGTCCGCCCACTGGCGCGGCATAGTGTTCGGGCTGTCCCGGGGCCTCTTCAACTTCGTGTACGCCGCCGCCATGTACTACGGGGGCGTGCGGATCGTATACCACGACGTCGAGTTCGACCTAGTACTCAAGTCAGTATCCCGAAAATTTTAAAATTAGTGTCTGTTAGGTCTTCCAAAAAAAATACTATCAAGGCGCTGAAAATTTATCGGAAATCTTACGGAAAATCTCAAAACTTTATCCAATAGGTGGCGCTGAAGTCGGGTTTTAGGATTTTATTTATATTTTTATCGAGCAAGACGCCTTTCGGATATGCATACATAAATCCTTACTAATGTCGTGTCACAGTCACCTAAGTAGTGTGACCGCGGCCTATCGGGTCCACTAGTCATACATCAATCCTTGTTAATATAATAACAGCGAATGTGAAATGATAAATTTCACTATAAGGATAAATTCCCATCTAATTAGGGACCCTGGAGACGATAATGGGCTACTTTATAAAAGATTTACGCTACCCAACTGTTGTCCGCTCCGCACCTGGCCAAGAGGTCCGCCCACTGGCGCGGCATAGGGTTCGGTCTGTCCCGGGGAATCTTCAACTTCGTATACGCCGCCGCCATGTACTACGGGGTCGTGCGGATCGTATACCACGACGTTTAGTTCGACCTAGTACTCAAGTCAGTATCTCGAAAATTTAAGAAAACTTAACTTTCAACTCTCCTCGAAAGGTGGCGCTGCAGTCAGATTTCTAGAATTTATTTAAAATTAGTATGTGTTAGGTCTTCAGAAAAAAAAATATTAAGAAATTTGCGCAGAAAATTTATCTGGAACCTTACGGAAAATCTCAAAACTTTATCCTATAGGTGGCGCTCGTCGGTTTTCAGGAATTTATATCTACTTCGAGCAACACGCCTTTCGGGTCTCCATACATAAATCCTTACTAATGTCGTGTCGCAGTCACCTAAGTAGTGTGACCGCGGCCTGTCGGGTCCACTATTCATGGGACGTCGGGTCTTGATTTTTAAAAGTGTTGTTTGTTACTTTTTTTATCCAAAAGTAGGCAGAGAGAAAAGAGCGCCATAAGAGAATTTCCATTACGTTATGATTTCACCCCGGAATAGCTGAATCAAGTGAGATTTATTTCGCTGTAGGAATAGATTTCTATCTAACTGTAGACCCTGAAGACGATTATGGGTTTCAAAATTCCACTTGGTCCAAACAGGATCATGTTTGATGCCTGAACCAAGTTGATAGTTTCCTAGTAAAAGTTTCCTAAGTAAAAAAATATTATTCCTATGTGTACAGTAGCTCCCTATTCCATCCATAGGGAAGGCCTGTGCCCCAGCAGTGGGGACATAAAGAGGCTGATGATGATGATACAGTAGTTATACCAATGTTTCAGATCCGCGCAAGCGCTTTTGATGGGCGCTTCCTCAGCGGCACAAGCGTTTGCATTCGCTCCCAACTTCCAGAAAGGCATTAAAGCTGCTGGGCGTGTCATAGTGCTGTTGGACAGAGAGTCCAAAATCACGGATCCCGTGAAACCATCGATACATAACTTTGTAAGTTGTCACCATTACTTTGTTGATCATGATCTGCTTTTCTTTAATATTAAGAGATAATATTTTTTTCAGTGCCATTAATACTAGGATTACTCACTCCCTAGTGATAAAAGCAATATTTCGAAATTATAATTTTAACTCTGAAAGAAGGACTAAGAAGAACATGCATATTTGGGCACAGAATGCATAATACATAGTACACAGGCAAGAGTATACCAAGCGTATATGTTTTGAAAGATAATTTGATTTCATACACATTCGTTCATAAAAATTGTAATGTTGAAATTTTACTTTAAATTGTATCCAGTTATTTATTTTAATGATATAATTTAAATTAATTGGTCAGCTTACCAGATCGAATTATATAGTTCCAAGCCATATCACTAATAGCAACATTTTGTAGTTCCATTTTACAAATAACACTCTTATTTTCAATGCAAATCAAGAGCCATAGTCTAAAAGTTGATGATCACAATTTGAGCTTAAGCATCTTGCATCCTTTAAATACGTTTTCATGCCTTAGAATAGCAGACGACACAAAGAAATTCACGATAGATCTAATGTTGAAAAAAATAAGCGAAACCGAATAGAATTATATCCAATTGATTAATTTCAGAGAGGTACTGGAGAAGCGAGTCTACAAGACGTTATGTTCAGATACCCGACGAGACCGATGATACAAGTGCTCAATAATCTAGACCTGGAGATCCAACGAGGCAAGACGGTTGCGCTGGTAGGAAGCAGTGGTTGCGGCAAAAGCACCGTCATACAACTACTGCAACGGTATTACGACCCAGACGCCGGGATAGTCGTAAGTTGTCTACTATTAGATCTTAGAATGATAAAGACCAGACCTTTGAAGCGGAGCTCGATGGCGCAAGTGCAATGGTATGCGTGTTTGATCAGAGATCGTGGAATAACAAGTGCTCAATAATCTAGACCCGGACGCTTCCACGACAACGGCAAACTAGAGCCAAGGTCCGAGTCTCAGAGACGCCTTTTAGTTGAGCCGACCCCCTCAGATTCGAGTGGTCTAGAGGCTCCAGACGAAGAGGAGATTCCTCCCGTGGGGAAATGCCATCCGCCTGGAATATCTCTAGAGACACTCGCCAATTCTCGGCTTTAGGTTCCCTTAGGATCTCGCTGTCCCCAAATCCGGTGACGCTGTAAAGGTCATCTGTGACCAACAACATATAGGTACATATCGTGTGTTGGTACCTAACACACTTAAAAATAAAGACCCGGACGCCGGGATAGTCATAAGTAGTATCTTCATTAATGTTATAATCCTAGAGGTCACACAACCAGAACCGTCTTTCCCAGTGGGCTCTTTGGGCAAGTGCCCAGGGCCCCGCGATCAATAGGGGCCCCCCTTAGATCAAATACAAAGTCCCTTGTTCATAGGGGCCCCATTATCCTAATATGCCCAGGGCCTCGAATAGGTCAAAGACGGCACTGCACAGAACACAGAAAAGGTTAAAAGGGCCTTGTGGGCGGGGCAGGCGCGCCACAGTTACGTATGAACAAATGCTCATAACTTGACCAAAACTCGGTTCTGATTGTGTCGTTGCTCTCGGGTATGAGCGCTGATGGGTTCGATTGTTTGATATCGCGGTATTTGATTGGCTATTATGTATTAGGTGGAAGTGTAGTGGGGGCGCCAAAATCATATATAATCACCCTTCTAACCTCTTTCTATGTTTTGTGAGTACTCACCTAACTTGCGCAATGGCCGGTCATCAGATAGGTGACCGGACCAACAATTTTTATTTCGAAGGCACGTTTAGTCGTTGGTCCCGGGTGCAAATGCAGTCGTTAGCACCCACCAATCCGCAGTGGACCCGCGTGGTAAGTCATGATGTATCTCCCTATTCCGTCCATAGGAGACCAGTTCCCCAACAGTAGGGATATTAATACGTTTATGATGTTGATAAAACCGGAGGGAGTATTATGAACTCTGAATTCCAGGCAAGTTCTGTTGGGAAGAGACATCACTACGCACAAGAGCGACATCCCGGTTTAACCTGTTTTTTTCCTGACGAAGTAAGATTTCATTTCAGAAAGCCAAAGTACCGTTTTTTAAGTATTGGTTCGCTTTGCGTACTTACTATAGATGGATGTTTACATATGCAATTGGTTTATCCATACAGTGACGTTTAACATTCTAACCACGTAACATTACAAAGTATAATGATATTTTCAGGCTCAAGACGGCAATCCTCTTACAAAGCTCCGTTTGGCCGACGTTAGAAGCACTATCGGATTCGTGCAGCAAGAACCTATACTGTTTGATCGAACCATCGGCGAAAACATCGCTTATGGTGACAACTCTCGACGAGTTACGATGGACGATATCATAGACGCCGCCAAGCAAGCTAATATACATAACTTCATCACCTCATTACCGCTGGTGAGATTCCTGTATTTTTGTAAAACAAATGTTATGAAAGTTTCTCTTATTAAAAAGCATTAAATTTTGCCCAGATATCAGTTTATAACCGTTCTAAATCGTGTTGAACGTAAACTGTCAGTGGACAGTTTGCCGCACAGTGGTGCGGAGCCCTTATATACGCATATCGACGCATTTTAAAATAAATCAGTCCAATAGGGAATTTCCTATAATAAATTACCTACACTATAGGCAAGCAGCAAACAAGTTGGCAGCTATCATTGCACCTTCAACCTTGCGCCGCACTGCTAAGGCTCATATTCAGGGCACTGTAACCAAATGTAGCGACATTTGGTCACAGTAACAGCCGCGATGTTCGCGATAAATATGTTTCTAGATTGTTTGTGACAATATTGTTATTTAAACAATAGCAATATATATATAGTAGTAAATAAGTAAGCGTCTTTGGGCAGCTTATTCATTCACTCCAAACCTTCCAAAGTATGTGAGGGTAGTGGCACCAATGACCGACAAGAATCAATAACACCTAGACGCTCGGTGTTACCAAATTTTGTGATCGGTTATCTACTCTTATTTTCATTGATCACAGAAAAAATGACGATCAATGGTTCTTGTCGGTTTTTGGTGCCAAGTGAGCGACAGGAACCAATGATCGTCATTTTTTTTAACCTTAAAACATCGTATTTATCAGGGTTACGAGACTAACATCGGGTCTAAAGGTACGCAGCTATCAGGTGGTCAGAAGCAACGCGTGGCTATAGCGCGAGCTCTCGTGCGGAGACCCAAGATGCTGCTGCTCGATGAAGCTACGAGCGCGTTGGATACGGAAAGCGAAAAGGTAGGTGCCGACCTTATTAATGTATCTACTAAATATAGATCGCAAATTGGAGTCCTAATGAGGGCTACGAGACTGACTTCAGATCTAAAGGTACGCAGCTATCAGGCGGTCAGAAAAACGCGTTGCCATCGCGAGAGCTCTCGTGTAGACTCAAGATGCTGCCACTCGATGAAGCTACGAGCGCGTTGGATACGGAAAGCAAGAAAGTAGGTGCCGACCTTGTTTATGTAACTACTGAATATAGATCGGGAATTGAAGTCTATCAGGGCTATGAGCTTTCGTGCGGAGACCCGATATGCTGCTGCTCGATTAAGCTACGAGCGCGTTGTATACGGAAAGCGAAGCGGTAGGTGCATACCTTGTTTAAGTATCTACTGAATATAGATCGCGAATTGAAGTCTTTATCAGGGCTACGAGGCTGACATCAGGTTTAAAGGTACGCAGCTATCAGCGGGCAGAAGCAACGCGTGGCCATCGCGTTTTTCAACCTCTTTTCTCGTGTTGCGGAGTTTTTCATCCATAACTTTTGTAAGTGATTATTTAGATTATAAAGAAAATTCTCCACTACTTATTTCTGTGAACACAGTATTAAGATAAGGTGTTAAATCTGGCTTAATTCTTTAAACCTAAAATTATTGACTCCGTCTTAAGTTTAGATAATTGTGCCAGAATCGACACCGCTGTCGTTGTAAGATACTTACTTAAGTAGGTGCAATGCATGTGCAACAACAATACAGAATAGTTTTAAAGATTTTGCTGCAGTTCTTTGTTAATGTTCGGCTTTATTTTTCTAAACGAAATAGGTAAGTAGATATTTAATAAGACTTCAATATTTGTAGGTGGTACAAGAAGCCCTAGACGCGGCTAAGGCTGGCCGTACGTGCGTTTTGATAGCTCACCGGCTAAGTACAGTGCGGGACGCCGACCTTATATGCGTCGTTAGTGACGGAAGAGTGGCTGAAAGCGGCACGCATTCAGAACTGATGGCTCTCAAGGGCCTCTATTACAACCTCAATCGGAGTGGATATACGTAAACTATGACATTCACACTTAACATTTCAACATCACACAACCATCACAATAGAAGTGGATACGATAAATTATAACCAAACACACTACACATCATCATCACACAATCACGGGCTTAGCTAGGGGGGAGCAAGGGTGGGTAATGACCACTCTAGAAACCTCTTTGCCGACTTAATTAAATATGCGTCGTAAGCGACGGACGAGTGGCTGAAAGCGGCACGCATTCAGAACTCATCGCTTTCAAGGGACTTTAATACAACCTCAATAGGAGTGGATACGCATAAATTATAACTATAATGCGATTCAACTAATGTCAATTTGATGACGACCTCAGTGGCCGAGTGGTTTGTATGCCGGGTTTCATGGTGTCGCCGACTCGAGAGGTCCCGGGTTCGAATCCCGGTGGGGGCAGATGATTGTGTGATGAATACGAGCATTTGTACTCCAGTCATGGATGTTTAATATGTATTTCTATATAAATCTTAATATATATAAATCTCGTGTCACAATGTTTGTCCTCAATGGACTCCTAAACCACTGAACCGATTATAATAAAATTCGCACACCATGTGCAGTTCGATCCAACTTGAGAGATAGGATAGTTTAAATCTCAAATTATAGTCGCAATTTTAGTTTATTGCAAATTATTACTTTTGGGCGGTACGAAGTTCGCCGAGTCAGCTAGTATACTTGCAATTTTAGTTTATTGCAAATTATTACTTTTGGGCGGTACGAAGTTCGCCGAGTCAGCTAGTATACTTATATATGTACAGTATGTGTATTCTATCCGTTACCCTAGTATCCCATAACACAAGCCTTATAGTGCTTACTTTGGGGCTTGGCTAATTGGTGTGAATGTTGGAAATATTTATTTATTTATTTTTAAAATATTCTAAAAAAAAGTAGGTAGAGTGAGCAAAAAAAAATTTCTAATTAATAAAACTTATTTAACTACTTAGATTAAGTGAGAAAAACATCAACATTTAATAAAATTAATTTACTAAGATTGAGAGAAAAATCAACCGATTATTATTAATATTTCTTTATTATGACTGTGAGGAAACAACATTAATTAGAATCTAGCTCTTCAATTCCGCTCATCTCTGCTTTACCGCCGGAGGAGTTATGAATAATCATGCAGGTCACATACGAACATGTATCCTATATGTAAACGAAAGTTTTAAATATAGTTTCTAAACGCAACATAAAGTGACATGTGGTTGACGATTTAGGTTATCAACCATACATAGCCAAAGCTAAATAAATGAAAAAAAATTAGAACCAACATTAATTATCAATATTTGTTATTGTTTGTTTAAAAATGTTTGATTTTTTGTTCTAGACTTAGCTGAGTGCTAAAAAAGTTTTCTGAGATTTTTTTGCAAACTGTTCTTTACAAGCGACATTTGACAGATGGAGGTCATTGGCTTTCCTATTCTTATTTGAATCGCATTATAACACTCAACATTTCATCATCACCCAACCATCTCAATAAGAGTGGATACGCGTATATTATAACCACACTAACACACTACACATCATCATCACACAATCACGGGCTTAACTAGGGGGAAAGGTGTTGTTACCTTTGCTGTAAATTATCAAAACCACACTCAACATATCATCATCACACCATCATGAGCGTAGAAACTCTATTAATTTCCTCTGAGACAAAACGTAAACAAATAAACCAATGTTTCAAAAACTTTTTTATCGAGAGTAAAAATGGCCGGTGTAACCATACCAATTACAAAATTCACATTTCAACGTAAATTATTCGCTTTATTATTCTTTAATTTAGTAGTAATTTAATGCATTCAAAGTTTGGGAATAGCTACACAGTTTAAAAATTTTAAAATGACATTTTTTTCAATTATTATTTTATATGCGTATAAAATTCGACCTATTTAAAAACCTTTTTAAGGTTTGTTCACCTTTTGTCTCAGAGGAAGTTGAATATAGGGTCGCGTCGTTAGCGACAAAGAGTGGCCGGGAGCGGCACGCATTCAAAACTGTACCCCTGCCCTGGCACAAACTAGTAGAAGTAATAATAATTTAAAAAAATATTCTACCAAAACTTTTGTATTCGCACAAAGGGTCATTGTATTGTGGCAAGGAAAAAAAATTATTTAATGCATTTGCATTAAAAATGTCGCGTCGGCCGCATTGCTCTATAACTTGTAAGTTTTACAAATTAGGTATATTTGTAGTGATGTAGATAGTAATAATTTTCAAATAATTTATTTTTTGATACACTTTCTAAATAGTTACTTACCATAATTGAAGATACTTAAAAATATTGTTACCCTGTTATTGATGCTGGTGATCAATCAATGTTGTTATTTTTTTTTTTTGTTAATTTATTATATTAAGCTAAAATATAAGTGTCCTAATTAATCAAAATTATAACTAAAAAAAAAACCGAGTCGACCTAAGTATCGGACTGGAGCCGAACCAGCGTCATTGACCATTAAACAGATGCGTTGGTTTGTAGCCAGCCTGACCACTAAGCAGAGTTCAATTTTCTCTAGTAAAAAAATATTTGCTTAATACCCATAAAAATCAAGCAGATTATGCTTAAAAAAATTAAAAAGAAGAGTTCTATTCTAATTTTCATTGTATCCCATAAGATCTATAGACCTAAGTCTAAAGTATTTAGGCTGACTGAGCACTAGATACTGATGCCCAAGCACAAGTTTTTTGACAGCTCCGTAAAGTAACGTATCTCCGTAAATGTTGTATGGAAAAAGTTAGTTTGTTCTTACGTCCGATAGGGGCGTTGTTTAGTTTTCATAGAAACTGGAGATTACGTATGCTTTCCAATTACAGAGCATAATGCGACTCAGTACCGCACAATGCCCAATTATGCTGATGTTTAATTGGAACGCGAATTAGTTTTCAAATGCACCAGCAGAGTGCGCTAAGTTCAGTGTTGAAAAAAAAGTCAATGTTTGTACCTTCATCCATACTTATATTTATTTTTTAACAGTTTGAATGAACTTTGATTATTTAAAAAAAACTATTTAATGACACGAAAGCTTTAATAATTTTTCAACAATAAATAATATTACTAACGATAACATATAAATAAAACATTTCGATCAATGTCAACTTAAAGAAAAAACACTTGTTAATTTTCTGTCTCTAAGTTGGTACCATTGCACGCATCACACGAAAGCATCACTTTTGAGAGTGATCAATTGTGCGAAGCGTTGCTGTAGTTGGAACACTCAACGTTAAGCATTATGCCGCATAATGCGCAATAATGCTGTAATTGGAAAGCAACCTATGTTACTTTATGAAGCTGTGGAAACCATATAAGAATAGAGTAGGCTTAATATAGACTCTACTACAAGTGGAAGTGTCCCTCTAATAGAAAGAGAAAGAAGATGAGAAACTGCGAGCTTTCTCTCTCTAATCGCGCATGCGCATTGGCAACCGTAAGCATCATACTATTTCGATGTGATGCCATGCGTCACAAGAGAGAGAGATAGCTCACCGTCTTTCATCTTCTTTCTCTTTCTACTAGACGGACACTTTTAGAGCCGCCTTCCCCACTCTATTCTTATACCTCTATGGTGGAAACTCGTGCTTGGGCCTCAGATTGTAACTAAATAATAGTGACTTTTGTTACCAAATCTAGTACAGCGGAAATGTGGCGTTAAGTTTGCTGCGCCAAATATCTGTTGTCGGCGACACAATCAAAAATAGCTCCAATTATTAAGTCACAATCTACTGAAATAATTAGATAACGGCCGTATCTGTAACCGATGTCGAACCGAATTTATTCACAGCTTCAAGGGACACATGTTTTTGAGTATATAGTTAAAATTTAACTCGATGCCACCCCGTGTACCCGAAATAGAAGGTCTTGAATAGAAACGGAAACCTTATAGGATGGTCCCGTTTTTTCTTTGGAGGTACGACAATAACAAAAGTCAATTCCCGAAGTGTTCCATAATATTTTAAGGTACAATTCCGCAATGGGCTGTAGGCGACAGCCGCAGGCGACACTGCGGCTGACCGTGCATTATATGCATAGTGCAGCCGCGGCATGTCGCCGCGCTCGGAATCATTCATTCAATCATGCATTCATAGAGATTCATAGAAACTAGTAGACCACGGCCTGTGGTCCATAGAGTACATTGTTATCTGTGGTCTGCGGTTCACTTCGGACTTATACCTTTTTAGTCACGCTGTCGACCGTGGCATTAAGTAGAACACTCAAATTTTAAAATAGGACTAAGTCTTGGTGCTTTAATGTTTACGGTATTCAGATTAAGTTATGCAACAGCTTTTGTATCTTTTATAAGTTGTATATTATTAATCAACATTTATAATATTTTGTAAACAGTATTACAATTGTACTTACTCTTTACACAGTGCAAAGACAGAGGAGTAAATTAAAAATATGAACAATGTATATTATAAAATTGTACTTTTCCAACTGAAAATATTCACAATTAATGATTGGTAACAATAATTTGTCAGTGCCTGTATGTACATTATTAATAAGATGTATTAGTTAGACTATCTATTGTTATCTTAATATATATAAATCTCGTGTCACAATTTTTGTCCTCAATGGACTCCTAAACCACTTAACCGATTATAATAAAATTCGCACACCATGTGCAGTTCGATCCAACTTGAGAGATAGGATAGTTTAAATCTCAAATTATAGTCGCAATTTTAATTTATTGCTAATTATTACTTTTGGGCGGAACGAAGTTCGCCGAGTCAGCTAGTAATATATAGATCTATCAAAGTTACAATCAATTTAATTTTCAGTTTTCTAAGTATAGTCTTATAAAAAAGTTAGTCAGGAAATTTACTATTCATTAAAGTGATATTTTAGTTACCCAAATTTTTTTACAATTGGTACAGATTTAAGAATTTCATGTCAGTTTTGCATTGCAAACACAGATATATTAATGATACAAAATATCATATGTAATACTTATATAATATTCTGTACCTTTAAGTCAGTATTTTTGTTGACTAATAAGTTTTTATTTACCCAAAGCTGTGATAAATTGTTATATTGTTTGAATAGGCCCCAGAATAAAATCCATCCTGTTAACATTAATTTTTATAAATACCCTATTCTATTAAGGGGCCGTTCATAAAATACATTCGCATACAAGGGGGGGGGGAAGGGTCTTGCTAAGTGTGACAAGATGTGACAAGGGGGGACGGGGGGTCTACGGCAACGTGACGTTCGTCGTTCATTAATTTTTTTTAAATTAGTATTTCTTTCAACTATTTTTCTTTCTCAATTTTCATCAAGATAGAAAATCATTTATTTCCTATTAAGTAAACATATAGACATTCAAACGTATATAGTTTTATTATACAATAAATTGTAACTTGATATATTTACTCATGTTTATTTGTCGACATTAGCGCATATTTATATATTTAAATTTTATTATAAAAACTAAATAAATATTTAAATTCTTAAAATTTGTGTACTATCAATTGACATTAATCATACTTGGGGAGGGGGGGGGGGTCTCCGTTTTTGTGACGGAATATTTCAAGAGGGGTCACAGAAAGTGACACAGCGTGACAATAGGGGGGGAGGGGGTCGGAAAAAGCTGATTTTAGCACGACGTATTTTATGAAGGCCCCAAATTAGAATTTTAGTTCCTTTCATAAAAACGCTAGTTTCAATTGTTATCAGATTGGAGGATAACTACAGAATCTGTATAGGTACTTTTAATTTCCTAACTATGTTTTTATGTCCAAAATGTAACATTTGGATTTTGTTTTGGTGTTCTATATAAAATTTAATAGATACTGTTTTATACCTATTTATGATACACATTTTGTTTGTACTTAATGTTTAATCACAGTGAATTATATACCAACAAAGAATTAAGTCATTGTAATTTAACATATTTGTTTTTCTAGTTATATTTTCTTTATATTTGTTTTATTTAAATGTTGAATAACATTTAATTTAAACCTGTAATCATGAACAATTTTAATAAACTTTAAAATTACAAAGAAATTATGAATGAAATGAAAGTTTGTATGTAAAACATGTATTTTGTTGTTGATAACATTATTAAAAAAACACTACTCCCCTTATTAGCACTAATTTTCATCAAAATATAAGATTACTTGAAAAATCAAAATATGAACAAACATTATTTAGTATGTTTCTGCTCATGTTGCAATAACCACTCTTTTCTGTCAATGCCACTGCTAAATCCTCCTTTGGTTCCTGTGGCCACTAACCGGTGGCATGGTACTACTATTAAATGAGCATTAGCACCACAAGCTGCACCAATCGCTCGAGCATGGCTTGATGATCTACCAAGAGATTTTGCAAGATCGCCATAAGTCTGGGTTGATCCATATGGTAGTTCTAATAACTTATTCCACACTGCCTAAAAATAAATAGGTAAATATTTCCAACACTTACACCAATTAGCCTAGCCCCAAAGTAAGCTCTGTAAGGCTTCTGAGTAGGTGACACCTTGTAACCAGGCATGCATACCACTCAGCCGTGCAGGATGTAATAAAACATCAAAAGCTATTTCCTTTGTAGGGAAAACTATTTTAATCTAGGGGTGGGGTTAAACAGTATTTTGTTTAAATACTCAGGCACTGAAGCTTCATGTTGATATAACCACAGGTTTCTTATATTTAAATTTCCTCACCTTCTGAAACTCTGATCCAATCGTTTTTATTGGTATACTAAATTTTTTGCAATTTCCTTCAAAATATAGCCTAAGCTCATCTTCCAATTCCTGCAAAATTCTATTTTTTTTGTTGAGAAATTGACATAATATTTCGTCAGATATTGTCTGTATTTTCTTTTCAATGTTTTTAGAATCAACAAAAGTTATCATGTAGACAAATTCGTCGTCAGCAGCGGCAGCAACTTTACCAACAGGAGTATCAAAAGAACTTAAATAAACTTTAGGCGCTGTAAGAGAGTTCTTAGAATATTTTTTTATAAGTTGATTAATATCCGTTTTTTCCATTGAAATAAAATTGAGTTACGTATTTGAAACAGAATGAAATATTATCTCAATCGCAAAATTATTTATACCGTACAATCTGTGCGTACAAATAAATTATTTTTCAGATTCGCGGTTTCAGATAGGGATAGGGATGCAACGATCACAACGATATATCGGAATCGGATGACCGATAAATAGCAATATGTATATGTCAGATCAGACAACTAAGTATTGATATAATCGATATTGAATGAAACTCAATCAACATATTGAAGGGAAAATAAATGATAAGTGTTGTTTAACCTCTTTAGCATGCTGCTAGTAGAGGGTGGTAGCTTTCCAATTACATTATAGCGCATTAAGCGCCATACATAATGCTTAACGTTGAGTGTTTCAACTACAGCAACGCTTCGCACAATCGATAGGGGCACGAAAAAAGTATCGATACTTTGTGGTATCGAGTACTTTTCCTTTCGTTACCGATACTTTTGTACTCGATACTTTTACTAAATGAGTACTTTTTGGCAAGTATCGATACCTTTAAAAATTTGGATAAACGCCTCATTTAATAAAACTAGTATTTTACGGGTTAATGCACGAAACTTTATTTATTTATTGACGTTTCGTAGCCTTTACAGGCTACGTCGTCAGAATCAAATTTTATTTAATTTTGTCGAGCTACCTTCGAAAGACTTTTTATTGAGCGTTCGGTTATTTCATTGTTCGATTATTAAAATTTTTATTGTCTATGTATGAATTTATTACTTACAATAATTTAGTTCATAAAGTACTTTATATAAAATTCTTTTTGTAATTTTGAATTTATTTATTTGACCCTAACTACCGTAAACTACCACCGGTTCCAAAATTGAGAGAATTTGACAAGTTTTAGGCAGCGATCTCACGTTATTGACTAATGTTTATGGAGTCCGTAAAAAGTGGATATTCATCATTCTGCCGTGTATTTCAGTAAAAATAACCAAATCAAAAACTCCATTTTCAAGTTGCCGCGAAAACGTTTCTCTGGACAATATGGCATCTTACTAGTGTGTGACGTCACACGACTGTTATTAAAACGTCAAACGATATAATATAAATGTCACTTTGACCGGAAGTTTACTTGCGTGTGACGTCATTTTAGGCTCCGCCAATCCCAAGCGTTTTGGGTCACGTGACTTTCTCGTTATTTTGGTACTTTATTTTTAATACTGTCAAATGCCCTACTGTGTTGTTATAAAGTCAGTAACTGACATATTCAAATTCTTTCCAATCTGAGACTGTGTTTATTTTGCGCTTTGTTTTGTTTCATAGTTATTTATTTAGCGACCATATTGTTAGGACCTGTGATTGATTCGCCGTTTATTGTGCTTTTCGATTGACTGTATTTGATTTATTCAAGTGTAACACTATTATTCTGTCTGTGCTGTGTATACCTATTTGAAACCACCTGAAAAAAAGATGAACGTAACCTCTTCTATAATTATAATCTTGAGTGAAGCATGCCAATGGCAGCCGTTAACTACGTGTCAGATTCAAGTTAACACAAGTGGGTATAATGTTTTTTAATGATTAAAATTCAAGAAAAGTAAGTTTAATTTGAAACAAATCTGAAAAGTTTCATACTTTTGAGTTGTTTAAGATTTCGATCTTTTTTATTAACATTTTAATTATGAATGTAATATTAATGAACACTTTTTTAGTGTCAGAAATCACAGCTATTTTCTTTTCATTTTATAATAAAGCAATTTGTGAATTTACATGTCCTTTTTTTGTTTTTGATTATACGTAATATAATAAAATTTGATTGTTTTTCTTTCAATTTTAACACCGGGGGGGGGGGGGGGGAGGGGTGCTCATCAGGCCACAGAGGCTCCGATAAGGCCCTATGAAATGTACTCGATACTTTGAAGTATCGATACCTTTGTTTCGATACTTTTACGAATACGATACCTTAGAGCATTTATACCAGGAGGTGCCATTGCGTTCACTCGCCGAACAGCACACTAATGAAAATATGCAATACTCCCACAAACACGAGCGTGTTGTTGCTATAAACGCACACTTCAAAAATTACGTCTCACAAATAAAAAAACGCACACACGCTACCAATTTTTATGTAACTATGCAATTGTTCGAGCGTACACCAACACAAAATTAAGGATGTGGCATTAAAAGAATGAACGATATTTGAATGAATCGTTCTTGATGAATGAACATAATGTTTGTTTATAATGAAAACAACATGTTTCATTTATAAATATCTATCTGAAAGCTTATTTATAGTTTTAGTACTTATGATTTTTATGCTCAAAATTCAATGTTTATTTTTGCAAATTATATTGCTGTGCAAAAAATCTTTCCAACTGATTTTGCTGCCTTTTATCGGATAACCTGCCTATATTTAATTGCTTTTACACCCTTAATAATATCAAACGCAGTATATCGACACAAAACACTGCGTAACTTTGGGTCAGTTATTGTGCTTATCCATTCTTTGTTTAATATAATGGGGATAGCGAAAAAATATACTGCAGTGAATTAAAGTTATTTGTTTTATTGATAATGTTTTCCTCAGTGGCTTAAAAAGTCAATAATTTTATCATGTGTCATTAATAAGAAAAAAAACCTCAATGATTTCAAGCTTTCGGCAAAGATCAATCCCATGCTTTCAACGAGTGCTTCGCTAGCGTATATATATATATAGAAAATGATAAAAAAATATTAACCTATATATTTCGGGAATCTGGGGCCACGGCAAGTCAAGCAAAAAGAGCGGCACGGCCGTACCACCCTTTTCTCGAAACAGTTCAGGCCATTTTCAACTCCCTATAACTTCGTTGGCGATAAAAGTAGAATCCTGTGTTCAGTAACCAAATAGGCATTGTATAAACTCGATATATCCCAAATTTTATTGAATTTGAGCCAGTAGTTTAAGAATTATAACTAGTGAAAGTTTCTTAATTTTGTCACTTACTGACCGACCGATCATCAAAACTCTAAGGCACACTAGCAGACATAGAAGCTTTAAATTTAGAATACAGTATGGTAAAGTATAAATTAAGGAAAAAAATAAATTAATGCATTTTGCAATTTCGGCCCAGTTTTCTAGATATACTAACTGCATAAATAACTTTGTAATCTCATATAAATATAAAGGATTACAAAGTAACATTTGCAGTTAATGAATCAGTGTATGTGTTATATAAATGTTGCACTCTATTATAATAGAGGGCGTAGATAAGTATCTAGGTACAATAATGGAAAATTGGAATCCCATAATTATATGATTTATATTATAGAATAGAACGCGAATCGAATGATTTTAGAGTTCGAATCAATTTGAATATGTTTTATGTACTTTTACTTTTTACCGTAAGACGGAGCTGTATGTAGTTAGTTCACGAAATGACAGTTGCTTTTGCATTTATATAGACGTTTGAACGTTGATTGGATAATTCTTAGGTATTACATTGTAATCGAACCAAAAGTTAGAGTCTAAGTCTAAATAATGCGTTGATTGATATCGGTTCTGCAGTATTCATATCTGGTCAAGCTTACGTAGCACTTTCGAGAGTTACAAATCTTGGCGGCTTACATTTAATTAATCTCGACCTCAATTTGTGAATATAAATAGACTAATAAGCAATTATCGTTCGGACTTGACAAAGCTTTTAACATCAAAGCCTCCGAGAAAAACCCATAGATACAGGGAGTGGGCTTTGAGAAAAGCTGTAGCTGAAGCTCAGGAAGTAGTACCGGAAAAGTAAAAGAGGAACCTACAAAAATAAAAAAGGTCACAAGACAGCTCATCAGAAGACTTGTTGGTATTCAAGAAGTAAAAGGTACCTGAAAGAAATAAGTAGGGCTACAAAAAGAAATGAGATGCCATCAAAAACATAACTTGTAAAAAAACCAAGTGTCGCAACTCAGTTCTATTTCTACTACCGTCAAAAGTTGTGAGATCCATGTTATGCCAAGTCGGTAGCCAGTAATTTATTCAGTCCCTACTTAAGGAACCTTTTGTCTTTAGTTATTACGAAATTAGCTCACCTAACAACATCTTATACTGACCATATCAATATTGAAAATATTGTATGTTTGAAATAAATAAACTTAGTTGGCAATCGCACTCAACAATCTAATTTAATATAATATGGGAGATACATTGTGTTTTCATGCGATTGACTTGGTTTTTTACAAGTTATGATTTTGATGGCATACGCATTTAGTACATACGTACTGAGCTCAACAGCCCAGGTGGTTAGCGCGTTCGGCTTGCGATCGTGGAAGTTAAGCAACTTTGGCAATGGTTGGTAATTTGATAGGTGACAAAAAAACTTATTATCTCGAGCTCCTGTCGAAGCCTGTACTCTGCCCCTTCAGTGGGGATATTAATAGGCTAATACTGATAATGTATTGAGTATATTATTTGGAAAAGAAATCAAGAATGATCTCCTCTGCCCCACAATATAAGTTAAATATATAGCATTTCAGAACATTTCAAGGAATTTATCGTTATGTGTTTGTTCCAAAGCTTGACAAATTTTTCTTTTTTTTTAAATATGAAGAAATATTTTATCCAATCCGTTACTATTTCAAAAAATCAACCTCGTGCATATACGTACTACAATAATATAGTCTATTGAAATAAGAAGAGAGATGTTTTGATATCGGGATCGCCTATATAGGATTTCGTATCTCAAAAGGAAAAAATGAACCCTTATAGGATCACTTTGATGTCCGTCCGTACGTCCGTTCGTCTGTCAAGACCATTTTCGCAGTATCAAACTGAAATTCAAATCTAACACTCAGGTCTACTGACCCTTGGAGCTGTGAAAAAAATCAAACTTCTAAGCCAAAGCAATCAAAAGATACAGCCGTTTATGCCGCAAATTTTCGAAACTCGCACGAGAATCAAAACCTACAGGGTACTTCCCGTGAACTTTAGATTAAGATAAGTCTAAGCTAAATTGTTTGGAAGAATTTCTCGAAAGGTAGCGGTACCTTTCACGTCACACGGCACACGTCTTACCATGCAACTCCTCGGTGTTGCGAAGAGAAGCCATTATTATTCGCTAAAAAGATGTTAATTGGACGGTACGAGAATGGAAAAAAGTGTTATTTCAGATGAAACAAAAATAAATA